AACTATTTCAGAATTTTTAAAAATCCTTTAAATTAGTGGGCTCATGTGTGTATTTGGTTGTCCTCTTTTTTCCCTGCTAATTGAAACCACAGAGAACGGTAAAATTCCTGCTCGTGTTCTTTTGTGTCTCTCTCTTCTAAATAGAACCATCTGAGGCACTGAGTGTGCATAACAATAGGACATAGATCAGGGGTCTCAAACTGGTGCTCCACAGGCCTCATCTGACCAACAGATGTGGGGTTTTTTGTTTGTTTGTTTGTTTGCTAAAATACAAGGAAACTTTTCATTGTTAAAACTTTTCAAATTAGTTGCCAGCATTTTAAAATCAGAGTGTTTGATGTAAACATCAGAATTTGGGGCTTCCTGTGAAAAATCAAAGGTTTTGGTAACACCAGGTTCCCATTTCCACAAAGCAGAGATATGCTGACATGGGGGAGCAGTGTTAGACCAGATGGGACTCTCCAATTTGACACTTTCCCCACTGGGGAGCCTCTCTACTAGCTCTGGGGATACAAGGATAGAGTAGGTCATTCCTATCCTTAATATGGTAAAGGCTACCATAGAGAAATAGCCAATGTGCCAAAGTTGCTCAGGGGAGGAAATATTAATTATGACTGGGGAAACTGGGAAAAAACCTTACAGAACAGGGTAACATTGCAACTTTGGACTGGAGAGAGAATAGGAGGCAAACAGAAAAATAAAGGAAGATAGGACTTTTTGGCACAGAAAATAGCATGTGCAAAGATGCCCAGCTATCAACATGGATTATCAGAATGATGATAAATTTATTATGGCAGAGGTTTAGGGACAGACCTATTGTATTGAGGTCAAGTTGGAGATCTGATTGAGGCCAGACGATGAAGAGCTTCAGAAGCCATGTTTAACAGAAGAATTGTTCCTGGTCATAGTGCAAAGCAAACAAACAAACCAAAATTTTCAGGACAGGACCAGCAGTCCTATTATCAGTTTCCATTTTTGGAAGACAGTTCCAGCAACAGAGAACTTTCTTGTGTCAGCTTTACCATTTTCACTTTGCATAACATTGTTACAGCTTTAGATCAATTAATATCAATAAAAATGCCATCAATAAAAGAATACTGTTTCCAGGGCACTGATTATGGTTTGGAAATCCAGCATTGTTGGAAATCAAGCATTTGGAAATCAATACACAGTGTGAGAAGGTGCTGTAGCCTCTTCTGAAATAGTGTCATTCAGCCAATACCAACGGAGTGCCCACAGGATGCGAGGCACCAGGGCGGGCATCTCAGCTGTCCACACAGTGTCATGCAGGCAAAGAGCCTGCCTCCAAGTTGCATGTTAGCTGAAAACTTGTGGACATCTTTGGCTATTTTACCCAGGCCTCACAGTACACTTGGAGGGCACCCCTGACTGTGATATCCAGGATTTGTCATTTAGGTTCCGGATCTCTTCTTTTACTGTTGGTATTCAGACTTAGCCCAGGCCAGCTTCTGAAAGGAGTATGTCACTGCACCCAAACGGAGGGACACCACTAACAGATCATCTAGAATAAAGCTGGGACTCTCGCAAAGGTTTATTTGGTCTTCACCACTCATAAAACCAACAAAGCATTTCATGAAATCAAAATACAAAAAGTAAATAAACCATCCGAGAGCGAGCTGTGCTTAAATTATAGCGATGGGATTTAGAGTGCAGTTAAAGACATACTCTCCGAAAGGAAGAAATGTTAAAATTGGAAGAGCACAAGAGGTGCAGAAATCCCCTTAAATATGTTTTTATTGGAAAAGAGAGATTTTAACCTTCTTGATTTTAACCTTAATCCTTTTGGTTAAACTCTTTAACCCAATGATGGATTTTTTTCTATTGATTTTTTGCATTCAGTAATCACATGTGAATGCCCATATGTCCCAGACACTGCTGTTAGATAACACAAAGACTTTTATTTCATGATCTCAGTAATTTTTCATGTCCACAGACTCAATGTCACCATGTTCCTGTAATAGCATAGGATACAAGAACTCCTAAAAGTTGTCCAAGGCTGTTGTGTCATCGTGTCAACCAATCCATGTCAACCAATCATTTCAAACAAAAGTTAATTTTCTATTGAGTTTTTTCTTTTAATATCTTTGGTATGGAAACATGACAACTGATTGGCATGAAAAGTTTTTTTGGTTTGCAATTTTAAACATATAAAGGCTATAGTCTTTCCAGAGGGTCTTTCTGATAGGTCTTTTTCTGTCTTCTTGATTCTGTGACTCAAAGAGCCTCCTGGCTTCACTGAGCCCATTCTTTGTTAGCCCTGTTCTGCCGTGGTGACCAGCCCCAGCTTCCTTGTCTTTATTCTGACTCCCTCCCCACGGCAGCTGCTCTGTGCACTCACGGCAGGAATATTCTTCACGCTGAGACCAGAACAACCAGTTGTCCCTCACAGACCTGATCAAAGCCCAGTTGCTAGAGCAGCCTTCAGTGGAGGGTAGGGGCGGTTATCTTGATCCCACAGTGGGAGCCACCAGAGGCCTTCCAGGCTCTCATCATGTGGATTGTTTCTGGAGACACATTCTCTACTTGTACCATTGAAACACCAATATAGTCAATCCTGACCCCAGAGGTAATCGTAAGCCTCACAGCACTTACTAAAGAAGGAAAACCTTAAATTCTTGGCACTCTCAATTGTTTTAAAGACAAATAATAGTTATGCCAGTAAAGCTGTCATTTTAAGTAAATCTCCTAACTTACGGAAGGAAAGCATGGAAGTATAAGGCTTTTCTGCCAGTCTAATTCAGATCAGAGATTCTGTCTCCTTGGGCCATGGGGCGTCTCATGACTATAGGACAGCAATCATTAAAGGAAGGCAGCCTGGTAACTGTTTAATGGATTTTTGCCCAGAAATTCAAGTGCTGCTTTTCAAAAGACAGTCGGTCGCTTTGTGATAGAAGCCTCAGGGGACTCCACACACTGCTGCTTCTGTGCACACACAACAAACACCCAGGTACACTCAGCTCCAGCCTCACGTGCTCTTTGTTGTTTAAACTAAAACAGGTAGAATGTACTGCCCTGTGATCAAAGCCTCTGACCATCATATAAAACCAATCAAAGTGCTCCTCATTCATTTAGATTTCCCAGCCATCAGCAAATGTCATTCCAGAGGGATGATGTATCCCCGCCCCCTCCACCGTGTGTTGTTGTGTAAAGACTACAGCACTCAACTTCATAGACAGAAAGAGGTGGCAATCAAGACTAATTTTTTTTTTTTTGGTGGAGGAGGATGGTAACTGTTTGTTTTGGGGAGTTCTTTCCCGCAGGCTTTTGGAGGCCTGCTCACAAATGATTACTGTGGATCCCAGATGCTCCTGTGTGCTCAGAATCTAATAGTCTAGTTTTTTCATGACTCAGTTGATAGTAGCCATCCTAACTCAGCCAACAGGAAAGATGGATTTTAGTTCATGAGGGATGAAAGAAATATTACAACCTTTGACCACTAACCTTCCCTTCCTGTTTCTGTCTGAATATCCAGGATTCCTCACTCAACCCCAGTCACAAGTGACAGGCTGGAAAAGAAATCACTGCAGCTCAGGCATAAACGTGCAGATGTGGTCTGATGTTGAAGAATTTTGTCAGACAGTAGGTACAGACCGTGACGTTGGTGGAAGAAAGGAAAACCACTAGGGGAGATTATTTCAAACTCTGTTTTCCCTAACCCTGCAGTTCACAAAGGTGCTTTTCTTTTCAGATATATCCTGCAGGATAGTTTCTTGTGTTGTCATTCTTCTAGGAGGAGCAAGGCTCCAGTGAATACTAACCCTCCTTTCTGCCCCCACACTGAGGATTTATGAGTATCTGTCCTTGGGCAAAGCATTTGTCAAAGATTTAAGGTGTGGGTGAAAAGGGTCCTTTACCTTGTCCAGGCCGCTTTGCACTTGGCACCGTAAAGCCTGACAAGCTCCCCCGGCTTCTGGCCCCTGGCCTTCACTAATGTTCAGGCCTAGTGAAACAGTGGTCACAGGTGGAAGGGGCAAGCAGACGTTTGCTGACTCAGCATCAAAAACATGATTGCTGTATTTTCTGGGTTTAGAAGTTGAGCTCAAAAGAACAGATTCAGGCATGTTTCAATGCAATTAATAAAGACTTCAAAGATGTTGACTGCTTTGTGAGTACCAAAACTTTCTTTTTGGCTCCCACACTCTTGAGTGGATGTTCTACTTGAATTTTTGTGGTTAGTTACCATTTAGAAAGTGTCCATGTTTCCTGTTGTCTCTAAGTATACAGTGACTTCCTGGAAAATTTCAGCATGGATATGAACACCAAGCATAAATGTGAACTGCCTTTGTTAGAAGCCACTGCAAGGGGTTTGAATTTTGAAGTCTGGAATATATAAAAATGTGTCAGTAATGGATGTTCAGTTTTTTAATAAAGGTCTTAAAGGAAAGTTGCTGTTTATACAGCAAGCCAGCTCCCATAAAGACTACAGCACTCAATTCTGTGGACAGGAAGAGGTGGGAAGCAAGACTAACTTTGACCACCCCTCAGTTTCCAGAACCTTCCAGCAGGCCATGAATGCACAGAACAGAATGTTGTGCCCTTCCTCACAGCCCCTTTCCTAAAATAAAGCAAACAGACATCTTCATTCTTTACAAAATATTTCAAGCATTCTGGATTTCCTTGCCTTTTTGTAGATGATTGGATTTGGGGATGCATTTGAAAAGCCGTTCCCAGAAACAGCAGCAAAACAGAAACAGTCGTTCTGAAATTACACCACACCCTTCTCAGGTGCCATACAAATAACTAGTGCCCGACAACAGGGGCTCTGACTTCCATTCCAGTTGTATTTACATGGGTAACTGTTTGCAGCCCTCAGGATGCCTTTGACCCTGAGGCGCGCTCTGCAGATCCAGGTGGTGGCTGACATGCGGCGCCTAGTGCCTCCTCTCCTTTGCTGGAGCGGCAGCTCGCCGGGTGGCGGGTCGCTGTGCGCGCTCACTTGGCTTTCCTCTCCTCTCCTCCCGGGCCGCGCGGGCTGGCAGCGCCGGGGCCCCGCAGGCCAACCGCAGAGCCTCCGTGCCGTCCAGCAAGGCCAGCAGCAGCGGGAGCGGAAGCAGCGGGAGCAGCTCCTCCAGCGACTCGGAGAGCAGCTCCGGATCCGACTCGGAGACGGAGAGCAGCTCGAGCGAGAGTGACGGCGGCAGGCCTGCCCGCTACTCCAGCCCCGAGGTAAGAGCCGCTTGACGGCGCGCCCGCCCCGCCGCCGGCGGGCGCAGTGCGCGCGGCGAATCCGGGCGTCCTGGGGCTCACACGTCCCCGCCTCCCGCCCTCCGTGCCAGCGCAGGATCCGCCTGCCTGGGGCCGCGACCTCGGTGTGGCACTCTGTCCTCTCCTCGCGGTTCCCTTAATTACAGAGCTTCCTTTGAAGGACAGAGATTGCATCTTTCATTGTCCAAAAATTTATCTTGACTTAAACGTCACTGGCTGGAAATAACCCATAGATCCGGTCCCTAAGAGTCAGCGGAGGCCACACCAGACAGGGCAGTTCACCAGCCCAGGACATGTGGCCGCCCATAAATCAGGGGCGAAGGAGTTTTATGGATTAGACACGGTTAAAATCTTCCCGTTTTGCAGTTTGTCACGGATTAGAAGAACAAGGGCTATCAATATTAATAAAACCTTTTAAACTGTGTTTTCTTTGTGAAAATATAAAAAGAAAAATTAGCATCAACCTACAAATAATAATGAAACCTTTTATAGCCATGATGAGTATCTATGTGGAAGATTTAGGTGCCTCATATAAGAACATTATAAGGTACCAAGAAAAACCATTGCTATGTTTTTCGTTAAAGGGGGAAGAAGAAAATTAATAGTAATTCAAAGTACTGAGATTCCTGGGAAAGTTGAGAGCCAACTTTTCAAGTCCATGGATCTGTAAAGACAGACTTTGGTTTCTAAAGAAGAAAAAAACACAGTTTCTTCTTGAGTGTATAAACATCTGACATTACCATGGATCATAGGATTTAATTTTGTCCTATAATCTGTACCACTTTGGGACCAAAATTTCTAAAGAGGCTCTGAAATAAACCCAAAGCAACTCATGCAAACCATGACAATGAGAGGGGACCCCAGCACAATTCATGTTTCCACCTTTTGTACCTCTGCCTTAGGACATCATCACACCTGAAGCCTCGTGTTTTTATCTGAAGTTCATAGAGCGGTTCTGAAATTCCCACGGGCTTTTCCCCTTTTGTCTCTTCACCAATAAACCAGGGTTCCTTGCCCTCTTCATGTTCTCTTTGGCATCTTTCTACTCTGCACCAGGAGCTCCCCACTGATCCTAAAATGAGCCATCTCCCATCTCTCTCTCTATTTCTATCTCTACCTATGTAAGGGCAACACCCTTAGCAACATTCACCTATAAAAGCCATAGGTTGCTGTTACCCTGACTTTTTCCCAGAAACAAAATTATTATTCCTTTCTCATCATTTTATTCATTCACTCAGTCAGTGTTCATTCAACAGATATTTATTGAGCATCTACTGCAGACTTGGTGCTTGCCTCTGGGATATAGCAATTATCTGACAGAAAAGGTCCCTGTCTTCTCATAGAACTGACATTCTAATGGGAAGAATTTGAAACCAAAAAATACAGGAGTTAAATAAAATAGAGGAGTTAAACAGGCTTCTTCAAAGCTATATGCTGTAATATGTTAAAACTCCAGAATATTTAGTTATAAGACATACCTGGGTTCCAAGGACATCACAAGAGCTGAGGGGGGTAGTGAAGATGGGTAGAAATTGTGAATGTCTGTGAACAGGCCCTTCTTTGTAACTTTGAAGGTTACATTCGTGAATGTTCAGTCTCTTTTCATGCTGAAATGTGAATCCTAGAGCTCCTGAATGAGTCTGAACCCTAGACTAAGAGAAGTACAGTTACAAAGTGCTAGAAGCCAGTTCTTTCTTAATGTTACTGAGATCATTACAAAGACTTGAATTCCTCTGTGATTAAAGGAATCTCTTGTCATTTCTTCCAATGTCTCTCAGAGGTCTCTAGCTAAGGAGAGGGAGGCAGGTCTATAAAACAGGCCTGAAAGTTCAAGCTGCCTAGGGACCACACAGTTTTCAATTCCTTGCTTCTCTGTGCAGAGGGACACAGAAGTGGTAGGTGATGTGTTAGCCACGCTGTGAGTTACTTCTTTCTGCTGGAAAGGAATGTATTTGTTGAAATAAAAGCGAAGTTTCTCTTAACATTTTTCCTAAGATGAATACAGACACATGCCCTTTAGAAATAAAATGGGTTTGGAGAGTGAAATCACAAACACAGAAATCAGCCATATCTGGCTGAGCCTTCCCAGTGTCACAATTTCACTTTGACTGAGCAGGCCCAGGCCACCTTACAGAGAACAGTGAGACAAGACAGTGGGGCTCTGTATTAGACTCACACCTCACATTCCACCATGCAGACCAGTTTATGCTACTTTGAAGCAAAATGTTCCTGGCTCTTACTCTGCGCCCCGCCCCCTCCATTCCTGGTAACATCCTGATGTGGAAGTAGAGGGAAGCACTCGTGATGTTTCAAGGCACCTGCATTCTCCCCACCATTGTGCCAGTGCTGTAAACCCACTGGGCTCAGCTGAGTTCCATCTCAATTGTTCTTTATGGCTGTGGTTGTCAAAAGCCACTGCATTTTACATGAATCACCACAGTATAATGCTATATCTGCTAACAGGCGTGAAAGAGCCACTGCAAACCATAGTTCCTTTGCTGCAGATCCCCTCCCCATGGCCTGATGTTGGCTGAGTTGTTCTCAGCCTAATGTTTTTCCCTTGAGTTTTATCTTCTTTCTTGGCGTGGCGCATCCTCTTGTGTCAGAGCTTTGCAGGGGGAAAGCACCTTCCCCTCAGCTAGCACCTTTACACCAGCACATAGAACTTCCTAGCCCAGTGTTCCCCAAGTAATTGATACTACCTGGGGAAAAAGAGCTGGTCACATGCTTGGAGGAGTGCCAAGATAAAGTAAGTTTAACCCATCTCTTTAGGTCATCACCACCAGCCCTTAGTATGTCTCATGTAAACTGTGTTTTCCATTGTGGCATCTCCCAAATTCATCTGACCATGGAAATCTTTCTTGATAGAATTTGTGAACTACAAGCACATTTGGGAAAATGCTGCCCTAGATCATTCTCAAAAAATCAGCAGAAATGTGATACAAGTTAGACTCAGTGGTTCATTGGGCTTCCTCATAATAAGGCATCTATGGGGTATATGGCAGTGGGTGCTATGAAGAACACAGATGAAGCAGGGACTAAAGTACATGGCGAAGAGCTTGTGCATAAATCAGGAAGATTAATCAGAGAGGAGAGCTCTGGCTGAAAATATAAAGCAGCAAATAAGCAAACTGGCAGAATCCCAGATGGATGGCTCAGGACGTCAGCCATAGCCAGCAGCCTGTCAGTAGGTGAGAGTCCCATACCTTGAGTTTTCCCTCCCCCACTGCCACTTAGCTCTTCACCATTAAGCTTCCTGGGCCACAACAGCCTCATCCCCCCAATGATGGGCATTCCTGTCTTGCCTTATCTGTGAGGTTATTCTCAGGAATAAGTGATTCAATTTGAGTGACAGCTCACTGTGAGCTGTTCTTCTAAGGAGCAAAGTCATAGTCACCTGCCTCCCTAACCTCCTGCAGACACTACAAGGGATACAAAGAAACAGAGACCTGCCTTACCCACTCCACTCCCCCAAAGAAGTATTTGGCTTTGTTGAAGACACATGAAATGTGCACACTTTTTCGTAAACACATATTCATACTTTGTTCATATACACTATGAATATCAAAAGACGGTGCCCTTAAAAATAGAGGGCAGCAGGTATTGTTTGGAGAGGAAGGGATGGTCTCCAAAAATCAGATGTAATTCTGTCATTTGAGGTTGAAGACTGACATTCTCAACCTCTTGTGAGACCATGCCAGAGAGGAAGGGGGGTTTAGCAGAGCAGCAAGGGAGGGAATCTGGTCTTCAAACCCAGACAGGTACAGGTCCAGTCTCGGTGGTGCCTAGTAGCTTTGCCACTTTGGACACATCACTTAACCTCTCTGAGCCTCATCTACAAATTAGGAGGGATAATGTTGCTTCTCTGTATGAATTAAATTTAATGTTATATGTAAAGTGAGAAACCGGCATATCATAGGTGTCCTGGCAATGAAACATGACCGTAAGACAGATGGTGGGTGACCTTGAACACCAACCAGCCTAGGAAATTTGGATTTCATTTGAGAGGCAATAGGAGGTCATTGTGGATCCTTGAGAAAGGGAGTGTGATTTGGTGACATGTTGAAAATGGTATTTCAGCCTGGTTCCTGCAGCCATGAAGTGCAGAAAAGCATGGCGCTAAGGCCCATCAGGCAGTATGTGCCCCCAGGACATTTTCCGATGACTCCCCACTGGGCCAGCTGTGCTTTGGCTATACAGGCAGTCATGTTCTCTCACTCAGGAGATGTGAGCTGGAAGGCTTGGAACATGAGGGCAATGGAGGGCTGGTGTTAACCATGGTGGCAGGGTAATAATACATGCACCCTCTCTCACTGGGTGTCCCCTTTCCTGCAAGAGGCCCCTCAGCATCCAGTTGTATTTATAATGCCCTGTGCATCTAGAGAAGCCGAGGCATGCATGTCACTGTCCGTGGCCGCACAGTAAGTGATTTGGAGCAGGGTGGAGATGATACCAGAAGCCATAAATTGTTTGCCACCAAGTTAGCTTTCAGCCATACTCAGCTAATCTCAGGAAGTGCTAACAAAGCAGCTGTATGTATTGTGGTCCCGTTTTCTCCATCGAGAGCATCTGCTAGTGTAGTAGGGACCAGCTGTGCTCTGGGGTTGTATGCTCCCACGCTCTGGAAAAGCCAAAGTAAAGAGAGGTCAGAATTTCATATAACACCTAGGAAGCACAATAAAGATCTATCTTTTCTTCTTTCATATCTTTCTTGGAGCCTCGTCCTTTTGGTGCATGAAAAGAAGGCAGAAAGCCAAGTCAGAGACCAGACTCCCCACCCGGGAGCTGTGACAGTTTCCGTCCCACACCCATTTCCCCAAGGAAGCCTCTTCATCCTCATGGCCCCAGGGAAAGGGCCCCAGAGCTTCAGGCTGGTCGCAGGACACCCTCTGCTGGTCTCCCCTGAGGAACAGCTGGTCTCATGCCGTTTGGGGGGGGACAAGCAGGATGTACATGGTCCCTGCCGCAGCTCCAGCCACCTGGCCCCCACACTCACGTCCTCCTTACCTGGGTTCCAGGCCCCCTGGTCTATCAGAGGCTTCCCATCTACCTGAGCCCTGCCGCCCTTCCCCATGCACCCAGGATGGTCATTCCCCTCCGAGACTTACTGCAGGTGGCTGTGCCCTGAGACTGCTCTTCATGTGGGCCTTCCTGTTGAAAAACACACTGAACAGCAAGCTTTAGGAAATAATTATGTTTAAAAAAATTTTTCTCCTGCAAGGGAGCCTGACCTTCTGGACTTGAACCAATCAAATTTGAAATGCAAAGCGAAGCATTGTCATCATTCTTCTAGGCTGGTATCTAGTCTCCCCATGAAACAGTGGATGCCACAAATTCAGAGGGTGGGAGGCCAGTGGGAAGGAAAAACACATCATGTCGATCACTCAAAACATTTTCCCCATTTCATATATAGTCTCAAGTTGAAAACACTCTGGCTAAAGATCTACACTTACCAAAACAGCTCTTTTCTATTAGTAATCGTAGATGCTGGGTAAATTGACTTTTATTAGAAACAACAGCATTTACTCCCTGTGAAATCATTGATTCTTAGCCTTTATCTGAGACATAGATCCCTAGAGACCCCACTGAAACCTATGAACTTCTAGAAAAATGCCTCTGTATCACATTTCATGTTCTGTGTCAGGACATTCACTGACCCCCCTGGAACCAAGCTATGGGGCAGAGTTTAAAATCTGTCCATGATTTGCTCTCAATGAGCAAAACTGCTTGCAGGAAAGGTTTCCATCATCACCTCCATGTCTGAAATACTCCTGACAAAGTCGGACAGAAGCAGGTTGAGGATGGACTAACGGAGCGCAGCAGCTAAAGCACGTGGGGCACACACAGTCCCTTGGAAAAGGAGTTCTAGTTCCCTAAACAGGCCGTCTTCCCCAAGCTATTGCTTCTACTGTAACTACTTGCCCTCCCCCCATAAATCATATGTTGATTCTTTGGGATTATAGCTCCCACTTAACCCCCTCTTCTGACTTCCCCCCAAATTTTACAAAATTACAAATTTACAAAAACTGACAATCAGGACCTCCAAACTATTCCCCAGTTAACTTCCATGGAAGCTCAAGTTTGTGTATATGTAATCATAAAAAATAATTTCCAAAGTATAGCACTCAAGGGTGTAGCACTCTAAAGTGCTGAAAATGGGTTCTAATAAAGCACCAAGCTGTCCCTTCATGTTTCTAAATAGGCTTCAAACTGCTGCATTGACAGGTAAGTGCCCTGGCACAGGGAGGGGACGCCATCCCTGCATCCTTGGGGGCCAGCAAGAGCTGCTGCACACACCTGCTGGGTCCCTTTTCCCTTACTTTACAGCCCGTTCCTGTTCTACTCATACACCCCGGGGAGCAAGTGAAGATGAAAACGGCCAGGCCCCTTTTAAGTGAGTCTGTGATAAAGGATGTTTTGTTGCTGTTCTCTGCTTTTAGGCTGAACCAGCGTCCTCCAACAAGTGGCAGCTGGATAAATGGCTAAACAAAGTGAATCCCCACAAGCCTCCCATTCTGGTCCAAAATGAAAGCCACGGGCCGGAGAGCAATCCTTACTACACCCCCGGGAAAGAAGAAGCACAGGACTGTGGGAAGCTTCCCGACGTTTGCCAAAGCAGCCTGAGAGACAAGGACATCCAGGGCACCTGCAAAGAGGAGCAGAGGCCAAGGACCGCCAGCAAGGCCCCGGGGAGCAAAGCCGCGAAGCAGAAGTCCCCGCCTGCGGCCGTGGCCGTGGCCGTGGCCACGGCTGCCCCGCCGCCTGCGGTGCCCGTTGCGCCCGCCGAGAGCGCACCCGCGCGGAGGCCTGCGGGCAAGAAGACCACCCGGCGCACCGAGAGGACCTCCGCCGGCGACGGCGCCAACTGCCCCCGGCCTGAGGAGCCGGCGGCCGCGGACGTGCCTGGGGCGGGCATGGTGGCCCCTACCGAGCCCCCAAAACCCAGGCCGTGCGGCAACGGCAGAACAAGCCACCGCAAGGAGCTGCGCTCCTCGGTGACCTGCGAGAAGCGCCGCACGCGGGGGCTCAGCAGGACCGTGCCCAAATCCAGGGAGTTCATTGAGACCGAGTCGTCCTCGTCCCCGTCCTCGGACTCGGACCTGGAGTCGGAGCGGGAGGAGGACCCCCTGTCCAAGGCGCAGGCCGCGGCCGCCGCCACCTCCGGCAGCGACCAGAGGCTGAAGGAGGCCGCCAACAGCCTCGGCGGTGCCGGACCCCGCGCGCCCGTGGGCTCCATCAGCGCCAGGACCACCAGCGACATCGCCAAGGAGCTGGAGGAGCAGTTCTACACGCTGGTGCCCTTCGGCCGCAACGAACTTCTCTCCCCTCTGAAGGACAGCGACGAGGTCAGGTCCCTCTGGGTCAAAATTGACCTGACCCTTCTGTCCAGGATCCCAGAGCACATGCCGCAGGAGCCGGGGGTCCTGAGCGCACCTGCAGCCAAGGACGCTGAGAGCGCGCCCCCCAGCCAGCCAGCCGACACACCCACCGAAAAGGCGCTGCCAAAATCCAAGCGGAAACGCAAGGTAGGCCAGGGCTGAGGGCCTGGGGCGGAGTGGGAGGGCTCTCCTTTACCTGTGGAGGAGGTGACGGAGCCCAAGGAGCCTGCTGCTCTGGAATGTCGGCTGTTTTATGTGTCCTTCCTCAACCAATACTCGCCCCTACTTTATATAAGCCTGGTGCTTTTCCAGGTACTTGCGGTGTGTTGCCTCAGTTACATCCCTAGAACCACCCAATGAGTGAAGTGCCATTGATTCCCATTTTACCTACAGGTAATTAAGCCCTGCTCCACTGCATGTTGAAGTGGACATACAGGAAATCTTCATCAAGTGAGCACAGAGGCAAGCTGCATGCTGGGCCTGCAGAAAAGCTATATACATGGTGAACCCCATTCTTTGCTGGAAGGATGAGGTGATGTTAATGGTGGCACCCTTCATTGACCTATGCAGTCCCACCGCCTGCCTGCTTGCCTGGGGCAGGTCCCCTGCTCTTTGGCCCCTTGGTACTCGTGGCCCTGTGCAGCCTCCCCTTCGCTGCCTCCTTCCAGGGACCAGAGCTGCTTCCCTCCACCCAGGGGCCGTGGCACAAGGCACAGTGAGGGTCAGGGTCAGGAGGAGCATCTTGCCTAACCCCAGTCCAGGTATGAGGAGTGGCGGAAGGCAGTTTGCAATCCCCCAGGGGTTGCTGGTTTGCCTTGGGTTGGGAAGTGGGCCCTTCAAAGGGGAAATGGCTGACTGGACTTCCTCACCCCTCCTCACCCTTTCCTCACACATGGGTCCCACAGCTGGCCAGCGTGGAAACCCTCCACTGCTGGGCCATGCGCATGCACCCAGTCACAGGCCAGGGCCCCAAGACCTTAAGTCTGTACACACCCCACAGATATCTCCATGCCTCAGGGAACGTGCTGTGAAATAGCAAATAAACACCACCATGACAGGTTAAGAGAGGGACTTCAACAGACAAGAAAATGTTTCTATTTTAGTTCTTTATCATGTCACTATTTTCCTGCTTTTTTAAAAAAGTTTTTGAGGTGTAATTAACATACTATTATGTTAGGGTCAGATGTACAATGTAATAATTTGATATTTGTGTATAGTGTAAAATGATCACCATAGTAAGTCCAGGTAACATCATCACTGTACATAGTTAGAATTTTTTTTCTCCTGATAAGAACTTCCAAAATCCAGTTATCTAGCTACTTTCAAATATGCAATACTTTATTATTAATTATAGCCACCATGCTGTCCATTACATCCCCATGGCTTGCTCATTTCATACCTGGGTAGTGTACTTTTTGACTCCTTTTGCCTATTCCCCCCACTGCCACCCCCCATCACATTAAGCAACCACCAATCCATTCTCAAAATACATAAGCTGAAAGATCTTTTTGGCTTCTGTTTTGTGGTTTTAGATTCCACATATAAGTCAGATTGTACACTATCTTTCTCTGACTTGTTTCATTTGGCATAATGCTCACAAGGTCCATCTATACTGTTGTAAATGGCAAGGTTTCATTCCTTTGTGGCTGAATAGTATTCCATTGTGTTTAAGAACCACGTCTTCTTTACCCATTCATTCATCAGTGGACATTTAAGTTGTTTTCACACCTTGGCTATTGTATATAATGCTTCAATGAAGGTAAGGTGCATGTATGTTTTTGTATCATTCACAGTGTTCTTCTCCTAAATGCTGGTCATGGTGTCATGTTGCTTCTCCACTCAGCCAACTGTCCGTAGCACAAAGGACAGATTTCATCCTGTGGTTGAAACCTCCACACTGTTTTCCATAGTATCTGTACCCCAATTTACATTCCTACGAACAGTGTACACAAGGGTTCCCTTTCCTTCACATCCTTGCCAGCACTTGGTTTTGTTTGTTTGTTTGTTTTCGATACAGCCATTCCAACCAGCAGGTGTGAGGTGATAGCTCATGGTGGTTTTGACTTGCATTTCCCTGATGATTAGTGATGTTGAGCGTCTTTTCATGTGCCTATTGGCCATCTGTATGTCTTCTTTGCAAAAATGCCTATTCAGATCCTCTGTCCATTTCATAATTGGATTGTTGGGTTGTTTTCGTTATTGAGTTGTACGAGTTCTAATTTAGATATTTTGGACATTAACCCCTTATCAGATACATGATTTACAAATAGTTTCTCCCATTCAGTAGGTTGCCTTTTCATTTTGTTGCTGGTGTCCTTTGCTGTGCAGAGGCGTTATAGTTTGATGTCATACTGCTTGTTTATTTTTTCTTTTGTTGCCTTTACTTTTGGTGTCAAATCCAAAAAATCATCAGCCTGACTGATGTCAAGGAGCTTTTCCTGCTCTTTGAATTAGGGGCCCAGCATTTCGTTTTGCACCAAACCCCACGGACTACCTCGTCAACCCTGACCTCCTGGGTAACCTTAACCAGGTGACCGTATCCTTTCTGTCATTCAGTTTCTTCCTTTGTGAATGGTGACATCTTTGCATTTTCAGGTTTAGACAATACAATTCAATAATACAGGTTGGCCCACTACTTCTCTACCCTTCTTTCCTCCCATCTTCCTCTAGATACTTTCCCTCCTCACTACTCGGATTTATTCATCACTCCCCAGGTAATTAATTGATTGACAGATGAATCAATCGGTCATCTGAGAATTGATGGATATATGGATAGATAGGCTGATGGGAAGAGATGCATAGATATATAAGAAATACGTAGAGAAGAAATTGATAAACATGTAAATTGGAAATACATATTGCTATATAAGCATACATACATACAGACATGTTCAGAAAGACACATATAAATTCCATAATATTCCACAAATAATTATGTTTATTATTTCATGACCTTTTTAATTTTAACTTCAGAAGCTGCACTTAACAGTAAGCCTGACACCCAGCTCTCCTCAGAACATCCAATGAATCATCATTAAACACAGATGCAGAGAAGTGAAAGAACATTTTTGTTGCAGTCTGTCCTCAGCATCTGGGGTGTAAAGACCCCAGGAGCAGGTGCTGGAGGTGGGACACACGTGCCTGGCTGTCTGAGACGAGGAGCCTAGCCCTGCGACAGCCCTGGAGCCCAGGACTGGGAATTTAGAGCTTTGGTTTGGGCCCTCCCCAGGGGTGCTATTTCAGTGTGAGCATCTCGGATCCTTGTGACAAAGGCTGTGTGACAATCCCAGCCAGAGAGAGAAGGTCAAAGTCTTTCTATCTTTAGTGCAGCTGTTTGTCTCCAGGGGAAAGATTTGCTAAGAGCCCTGAATTTACCATTATAGTGTCCCTGCCATCTCAACAGAAATGGAACCTTGTTGAATGCATTTGCATTGAATGCTAATGTGTGTCTAAAGCTAAACACAATCACGCAAACAAGAATCCAAAGGACTATTTTATAAAAAGGTGCTTTAAGGATTCTAAGATACTATGGGATAGTCACTGTTAACTAGAATTAAGGCACCAAGAGGTAAGAACCTTTCTTATAATTCATAAAAGCCATGAATTCCAAAAGAAATGTCCAGGCTTGTCACTGCCTTACAGCATTAAGCCCAGAATACGGTTGTTTTACCTTATTCAGATGCCAAGAGATGCCAGAATGAGAGACACTGAAACGCCAGTGTGAATTCAGAACAGGCCTCCTTTGGAAGGCTAAACCAGGTCTGTTGATGGCAGAGCTGTTTTCATCATTCACAGTGTTCTCTCCTAAATGCTGGTTATGGTGTCAAGTCGCTCCTCCACTCAGCCAGCTGTCAGATTTCATCCTGTGTTTAAGAAGCTGACTGGGATCCCAGACTGGGGCAGGAAGGCCACGGCCACATTCCTGCCTAGAACGCCCATGTCCCGAGAGATCTGCTCAGTGGACGTTGGTGCTGGGCGCTCCTTAGGATCCCTTGAAACCCCCAGCTGAGTGGTTCTGTGTATTTCCAAGCAGTGTGACAACGAAGACGACTACAGAGAGATCAAGAAGGCCCAGGGAGAGAGAGAGAGCTCTTCACGACTGACCGCCCCAGCCAGTAACACTTTGTCTGCAAACCACTGCAACATGAACATCAGCAGGTATGCGTGACCCTCAAAGGCAGAGGGGAGCTGGAGGGATCTCTGGGCCTAAAAACCATGTGCTGTGTCCAGGGAAAATCATATTTCTTTAATGACTGCTCTGGTCTGTGTCGGCAGACTCGCTCCCCTCCGTTGAACCCAAGGCTAGTAATGACGCCTGGATGTGCGCCTCATGTCACAGGTGCCTGTAAGTACTTCTTTGTAACAAAAGACTGGCTACAAGTTACACATAGTTCTGTACTCCAAAGATGCACCCTGCCCTCTGAAAACGTCACAACTAAATTTTCCAACCATTATTTTAATAGCCACTACATCCATAAAAATACTAAGCTTCTGACACAAATGAAAAAATATAAACTTTGAGCAGAATCTCCATCTGAAATCTCACACTGAAAGCTATTGCATATTGTGCCAAATGTGCTATTAGACAGGATCTGTGTCTCCAAGATTGAAAGGCCACCCAGTCTCTCCTCTAAAGGGGTTCCAGGTGACCCACATTGCACTGAGTCCCTTCTGTGACAAATGGCTTTCTAGCAAGGCAAGGTCCCAGATATTTATTATAAGCAAGTAGCTTATCATCAGTCATAGAAGCTCTTTCCCTTTAGAAATACCACAGCTCAGAAACCACTTTTCCTCTGCTAAGACACTCCTCACTCTCCTGACTGAGTACATGGAATTTTTAAAGGGAGATTAATGTTTCAGCACCACACATAAAAATGTAAACTGAAAGGTTAGGAAAGATGTAGAGCAGTACTAAAACTCAGAGAGGAAATTGGAGGCGAGGACACACGAGCTCAGAATCACCTTGGGCAGGGAGGTAGTGCCCCTCCTGAAAGTCTGAGCAAATTGGGAAGCTGTATGTGCAGCTGGCCTGGTCCACAATCCTCTGTGCTGAGCGGAGGGCATCTCGAGATACTGGGAAAATGGTGCTCCAAAATGTCTTTGAAATGTGTGATGTAGTTATGTATGTGCTTCTTTGTTAATCCATTAAATAACCTTTCTAGCAGATCTAGTAACTGCCATAATTTCTACGTAATTATAAACAGTATTTCAAGATGTCTGCCACAACTGTCGTCTGACAGGAAAATATCTGTGGTTTCTACTGGTGACACAATCACCGTATTGCCACAACATGACTCTGCTTTCTTGCCTTCATTCGTAGCTGAAGGAAATGTTTGATTTCAGTGAGGTTAGTGAAAATGAGGATGTAATTTTTTCCAAGTTCATGGACCCAGGATAAAAGCTCTTATTCTAGAGCCTTTGCCTAGCAGAGCCTGCCCAGCTCTGATAGTTTTATTAATGTTAAGTAATGACACAATGCATATGTGTCTGCCTGAGGGTTTCAGCCCCAGGCAAGTTCACTATGGGTTCAGTGAGATGGAGAAATGACAGTGGAAGTTCTTGGAGTAAAAGGGTTTATACCTGGTTTTATTCTCACAGCAGTAAGTAGAGCTCTAGAATCACCTGTGCACCCAGCAGCCTGCAGGTCCGTAATCCCCCTCCATCTCTGCCTCCACCCAGAGCACTGGGCAGAGCTCTTTATATAGTGACTCAGTCAATAATAGCTCATTGCCTACAGGTGTGGAAGCAGTAGCCTAGCAGTAGGCCAATTACATCATCAAGTAGTTTAGGGTCAGGTGAGTATCCTGGCCGCAGGAACTTCCATTTTCCCCACAATATGAAAGTGCTTTCAGTTCTTCCTAGGAAAGGTGGGCCATGTATCCGTGGAAGTGTGATTACTGCTGTCAAGGTTTACCACCATGATCAATCCCAGAAGATGATTGCCCAGTCCAAAGATGAGATCCAAAAAAAGTTTCTTTGGTTAACTTGAATATATAAGCTTTTAATGATGAAGAAATATCATATGTGCATTATAATATTTAACATAATTTAGTTTTCCATGAATGCTTGAAATCATGTAGTGTGTAAAGTAATAGAGACTTAGAAATATGACTTTTTTCACTCACATGTCAAGAAACAATTATATTCAGACTGTTCACATATTTCAGCATCAGCATCTTCATCATCGCTAGCTGAGCCACTTTTGATTTGCCCAAGGCAGTTTTCCAAGAACATATCTTTTCGTTTCTAAGTTGTTAGACATACAGTGCTTTTTGAACCAGAAATCTATCAGCAGAAATTCTACCCCTACATGTATCCATTTGCGTAACATTAAGAACCTAGGCTTGTTGTTTGTTCTAGAAGCCTGTTTTTGTAATTTCTACACTGTGACCACCAACTAAGGACATTGCTTTTTGAAGTGAATTCAGTGGCTTGTTGGCAGTGGTAGCCAACACCTGCAATTAAGACCTAACAACTGTGGCAGTAATGACTAAATCTTGGTTAAATGGCATTGGGTGACTTATGTAAGCATCCCAAATTAGCAGTGACTGAGTTTATTTCAAGCTAATGTATCTTCTCTAAATTTTTTTTCAAAATAATGACTCTAAACTACTTGATGATATAATTGGCCTACTGCTAATCTACTGCTTCCACACCTGTAGACAATGGTTGTGAAGGTAAAATAAGAAGATAGGAATCAGAAAATGTAACTTCTAATAATAGTTATGTAGTCTATTTTTATCCTGATCAATGCCTGGTTAGCCCAGAAACCTAACAAGTCAAAGTTGGCTCCATGCTTTGCAGGTTATTCTGTGATTCTGTTATTCTCCATATAGTAATCAATGCAAGCTCAGGTGTTAGCAAAAGTCCTTGTAGAAGTAGAGAACTTATAGCATTTTATTGACTTTCCATTACTTGCTGCTTACACTTGTTAGGAAAACAGTAAGTTGCTTGTTGTGTATTTTGAAATCTTTGGATAAAAACTTGGAAATTGAAAGCTGTTATTCTTAGTCACTCAACTTCAGAATAACTATTCCTCCTGATAGGATAAGTGTCTTGCCTGAGGGTTTCAGTCCTGGGCAAGTTCACTATGGATTCAGTGAGACTGAGAAATGACAATGGAATGTTTTGGGGGTAAAAGGGTTTATACCCAGCGTTATTCTCACAGCAGTAGGTCAAGCACTAGAGTCACATCTGCATCCAGTAGTCTTCAGATCTGTAATCCACCTATGTCTCTGCCTCCGCGCACAAAGCAGTGGGCAGAGCTCTTTATATAGTGACTCAGTCAATAATACCTTATTGCCTTAGCAGTAGGCCAATTAGATCATCAAGTAATTTAGGGTCAGGTGAGGCTCCTGGCCACAGGAACTTCCATTTGCCCACAGTGAGCAAAGAAACAATGAGTAAAATTTGCTTATTGTACATTATGGTCTGAATGCCATAATATTGTTTCCTGGTATAATAATTCCCAGTAAACACCTTCCTACCAGTAAGTCTTAAATGGGAGGTTTGGGTCATATATAAATCTGTGCCAACTCTGTGACATTCTATTACTGTGATTTCCTTTTCCAGCTTGGCAATACCAATAAATAAAAATGAAAAAATACTCCGGTCACCCATCTCACCCCTCTCTGATGCATCTAAACACAAATACTCCAGCGAGGACTTAAATTCTTCCAGCAGACCCAACAGCAATGGTTTGTTCACTTCCACCTCCTCCAACAAAAAGCATAAGGCCGAGAACCAGCTGCAGTCTCATGCTGGCGACCTCACGGTGCGTTGATGCTCTGCCTTTCCCAGTTACAATAAAAATGAAATTGCGCTCACCCCTATGCTTTGTCGCTAGCCCAGCACAGTCTAAACACATGCTTGAGGTCCAGCAAAGAATTCCCACATGCTGCTCTGGGAAGACCTGGCAACACAGTGTATATGTATTGCTGCAAAAGAAGGAACCAGGGGGGAGGTGTTTTAAGCCTCTTCTGCTAAGGACGTCTTCTGGTGGGATTTCATTTCCCATTCTGAGAAGAAATGGCCCCAGGACAAAGTAAATTGGGAGTTTGGGACCAACCAACCAATTCATTAGAAAAGATTCCTTACCCCAGGGCAGAGATGAATCTGATACTGAGACCCCAGGCCAAAATTGTGGCCCCTTGGCCCTTGGTGACCAATATAGTGGCCACAGTATGGGGCCCCCGCCACCATCCCTCTTCCAGCAACCTTCTCAGTGGTGATTCCAGTGCCCTTCAGTCCCTTGGGGAAGGGTAGGGGGCTGGAGTCCACATTCCTCTAGCCTCATATCTTAGTTACCATGTGACTTTGGGCCAGTAGCTTAATCTCTCTGAACCTGTTTCATTTGCAAAAAATGGTGGTGATAAGATTTAAAGGAAGACCGTATTATCTAAAGAACCAAGCACCTACGCACACCTCTACAAGCAGATCCATATGTTAGTTCCTCTTTACTGCCACCTCATCTAGCAGCTGGTGGCCCTAGGCCTTGCATCCTCGAGGCACATTACTTAATCCAAACTCTCCCCACTGAGTTCTCTCAGGTCACCGTACCTATCAAAACAAGGGAGGCTTTGTGAAGTGGGCAGAGAGATGAGACATGGGAGCAGGACTCTGTGAAGAAAGATGGGAGGCTGTATTTAATGCTGTAGCCCATGAAGTAGAACAGTTAGTTGGTAGACGCTCCTTTAAGAGCCCAAATCTTATTATATCATGAGGAAATTAACCCACTCATGCACCCTTATTTGGGAGCAATTATCTTTAATTCTAGGCTGAAAGAAACTGAGAAGACCATATTAGAATAACATGGAAAAAAAGCTACCAATTCAAGTAAAAAAACAAAACTTTTCTTTGCATCTAGATCCTTATGTCACAAGCAAGTATGAAGTGCAGAGAATTGCAAACCAATTATGGATTTTGTTTAGTCATTTTGACTGAAAAGATGCTTATTGAGCAAACAGCAGGTACTGTGTGTCAGTATGAGATACAGGCTATGAGATACAGGGATGATCTGACAGATTCAGTCTCTGCTTGCATGATGCTTGCCTTCTGGCCATGGGGATACCACACATCCATAATTAACTACCATAAGTGCCCAAAATGAAGCTTACAGAGTCCTGGGGATCTTAAGAAGGAGGCTTGATCTACACAGAAAATTGGTCCATATTTAAGGAAGCACTTGTGCACACTCAATTTTAACTACTTCAGAGGAATCTATTTGAATGTCGTAATTGAAGAGTTTTTTATGATTCATGTGTTAACACACAATAGGCACTCTGTAAATATTTGTGCCCTCAGGGAATTGGTATTTTGTAATTTTCCCACAGATCAGCTGTGTTGCTTTTGAAAATGCATTTTAAACAATCTCTAGTAATTCCCCTCAGCTTTTCCTATTCTTCACAGACAGCTAATGAGAGCCCATCGGTGTGTGACCTGAATTGCTTCTCTTTTGCCAGGGATGGTTATAGCTCAGCGGTTCTGAAAGGGTGGCTCCTGGATCCACATCACCAGAACATGTTGGAAATACAGTGTTTTCAGGCCCTGCCCCAGTCCTACTGAGTCAAAGACTCTGGAGGTGGGACCAGCTGGCTGTGTGTTAACAAGCCTCCCAGAGGATTCTGATGCAGTCAACCTGAAGAAGCCCTAGTCTAGCCAACTGTGCAAGTAGGGGCCTGAGTCCTAGGCCTTGGGTCTCCATCAGCAATAGCTATTTGAGCTTGGACAGGTTGCCTCACCTCTCCAAGCCTCAGTTTCTGGCCCTGTGAGAGTGGGCACATGCAGACTTCCCTTTGGATATTGTTTTTGCAAATGACATTTGACAATGTGTAAAAGCCCTCCGCTCCAAATGACATTTGACTACCATGTAAAAGCCCTCAGCTTGAGAGTGGGAGTGAGTGTGTGTTTTTCTTTCTTTAAACACAAAGTACCATCGATTCTAACAGAACACAGAACACCAAATGCTCGGTTTAATGGGTTGCTCTTTCAGCCAGGTGATTTCTCAAAGACTGATGTGTTATTTGTTATTTAGAAAGCAGCTCACAACTCTGAAAATGTTCTCCACAAGTCTCGGCCACAAACAGAGCCCTGGTCTCCAGGCTCCAACAGCCACAAGGACTGCAAGAGGCAGAAATTGGTCTTCGATGACATGTGAGTAGGCGCTCTTTGTCATGTGATGAGGGGCAAAATGGATGAGGATAAAATGGTTAAAGGGTCACATGCATCTCATGGCATTTCTGACACATGCCTTGGTCAGTTAACTGTTGCCCTCTCAAAGGGAATTGGAGTTTAGTTTTAAACGCACCCAAGTCCTGGTGGGATTTTTTTTTCTTTTCTTTTCTTTTTTATTAAGGTATTATTGATATACACTGTTATAAAGGTTTCACATGACAAATAATGTGGTCACTACATTCACCCATATTATTGAGTCCCCCCCCATACCCCAGGCTTATTTCACTGAGCATAATATCCTCCAGCTCCATCCATGTTGTTGCAAATGGTAGGATTTGTTTCTTTCTTGTGGCTGAATAGTATTCCATTGTGTGTATGTACCACATCTTCTTTATCCATTCATCTACTGATGGACACTTAGGTTGCTTCCATATCTTGGCTTTTGTAAATAGAGCTGCAATAAACATAGGGTTGCATATGTCTTTTTAAATCTGAGAACTCCTGGTGGGATTTTTGAATACCTTGAACAACCCATGCTAACGGTTGCATCCCAGGATACCAGAAAGCCAAGGCAAATGGCATTAATGAATCTCACATCTCTAAGCACCTGTCCCTGGAGTTGGTGGCAGTTGTATGCCACCAGAAAAAAGAAGTATTTTTGGTTTTGTACATTAGAAAACAGCCAAAGAATAATAGTGATTCACTCCCAAAAGCATTTTTCCTCTAAAATGCTATATTCTTTATAATAGTATAAATAATTCTCATACAAGAAAAAAAAAATCCTGTCATCCTTCACCCCTTCCTAGCACTGAGACCCAAGTATTACTTCCATTCCTGGCCTTAATTTAAAAGAGGACAAACAAGAGAAGAAAATGAATAGAAATAGCACCACGTAGTGCTTTTGAATTTTGGGAATTCAATATAGTGGCCACAAAAATTATTTAGGCTTTTAGGGAAAAGGCTTGTTAGGGATCTTTGCCTTAGGGAAAGGCAAAAGATAAGGTTTCAAGAGTTTGGCTTCAATTCTGTTTCCCACTTTAACTGTTCACTGAGCACCCAGTACATGTCTGTGTGAGGCACAGCATTCAGCCCTGGGGTGGAACAGCATGCAGTGAGCAAGCCTGCCCTCTGTCTGCAGTCCACTGAGAGCACAGACTGCCAACACCACCTCCACCCAGGGTCGGAAAGCTGCAGGGTGCCAACTCTCTCCTGGCCCCAGCTGCCGTATGTCCAGGGGCTCTCCTGAGAGCCAGTCGGCTGATGACTCCTAAGGGTGACCACCTGGAGAACTGGACTCCCTGTGCTGAAGTGATGCCTATTCCTCTCATCCTTTTCACCGGCCCTAACTGTACCCCAAGTATAGACAAGGTCTCAGTGTTCCCCTTGTGAACACCCCTGAGAAGTGAGAATGCTAAGTTTTAAGTCTTCAAGTTTTACTTGCCCTCTGACAAGGGCATTAGGGCACAGAATTTGGGGGTTGAAAGCCAAACCTACATTTTTTGTTTTGTTTATTGAACACATCCCAGGATAACTGGAATGGGGGCCCAGGAGGATGTGTTTTTCTCCTCTTCCCATGGCTGCTGCAGCTACCCTCAGCCTGACCCCTGCAGCCCTCCTGGCCCTCACTATCACCCCTTCCCCTCATCTCCTCCCTTACCCTAAGCAGCGAGGGAGGTGGTAATTAATCCCCAGGGTTGAGGGCATGCAGTGGGAGTACAGTCAACTGGCCAAACTACGTATGTAATTAGGGTTTGCTGGTATAAATTTTTCATATGAGCTTTAACCATTTGTAAAAAAACATTGAAAAAAATGATAACGTAGACATTTGCATTCAGAAGTCATCATCTAATGATCAAACACAATGTGCATTAGACACTGTGGTGCTCAAAACATCAAATATTTCCAGCAGGTGTTGTTAAGGGCATGATATTTAAACACACATACACATATGAAGAATTAAAATGTGAGGAATTTTCCAATGTATGGACCAGAAAACTAGGCCAGAAACAGCAACGACTACACTGTCATACTGAGATCTGCAGTTTCTTGGACTATTTTAAAGACGAAATGTTTCTCAACCTGCTGGCACTATGGCTAATCTAATTTTGCCACTATCTGTATCAACAAAGAGGCTGTTATCATTCGTTCTTCCCATTAGCAATGTGGATAATTTTTCTGGCTGATAGCTACAATAAAACTGTTTCTCCTTTCATGGATATAGATAACAATAGAATTAAAAAAGCACTGTCACATACCCATCATATGGAGAGAGATGTCATGTTCCAATCTCCATGTGTCCCAACTGATTTGAAATCCATAACAGTAAAATAAACATGCAACTCAAACAGCCACCCAGCCACTGAGCTAAGGAGACCGTGGGAAGTCTTCAAGATCGGAACACAAAAATAAGCACCAGCTCTTCCTTGAAGCAATAAAAGTAAGTGTCCCTTAGGAGATCACTGGGCTAGGAAGCCACCTGAAATGCTAATGTCTCCCCCGGCTGATTCGGTACATGCTGAGCACTTACTAAGCACCCGGTACAGTGGGAGGAGCTAGGCTATGTGATTAATTAATTCTCAGTTATTAATGCAGGGGAGAGGGAGGCACTTGGTGGCCTTCCCACAGGGGTTCCTGGGGACCACGCAACTTCAGCTTCCTGCGCCACACCCCTCCACTCTGCCTCATTGACTGGAGAGTACCTGGCTCCTGTCATTTTCCTTGACTTCTCACGGAAGGCGTTAATGAGCAGTGAAATGACCAAAGAGAGAACACAAATACAAGGGGAAAAAAATAGGGAAATGAGCCCAGAAGTAATTTAGAGTCAATGACAACCCAGTTGTAGTGATCCAAAAAGTGACAGGTGCCACACCATCATTTAATTTCTAAAGTCACATCCTGTAGCTTAAAAAAAAAAGACGCTCCTCCCTCTCAGGTCACCCACACTTTCTAAGTGTGTAACCTTTTCATCTTAAACTCTCTCTCCAACATCTCAGGGCTCCCCTCTCTCTGAGGTCACCTGCACTTTCTCTCTCAGTAACTTTAAATAAAACTTTTACTCTGCTTCAAAAAAAAAAAGTAAACTCATCCTTTTGTATTACAATTACTCATTAATGGTTGAGTAAACGTGATTCAGACAACAGCTGAATCCAGTGGGCTCTCAATAACAAGTGTTGAATGAACCCCGCTGAATAGGGTAACATTCCTAGAGGGTACTGCCTGCATTTTTCTCCTTCTTTTTCTATGAATGCAAGGACTCTACATATAGGTAAATTTAAATTTGTGGGCTTCCACGCCCCTTTTCCTATGCTTACCTATTAAACAGGCACCAGTTTGTGCTTTCAGAATACAGATGGAACTGGACAGAATAAAATTCATTTTCAAAATTGGTCCAGGTCAGCCTGTTCTGTGTAAATTGCAAGCTCAGATTGGTGTCAGGCTGACTGCACCTCCCCTGACATTTAGCCAAGCAGGACACCCACTGCTTGACAGCCACAGTTTTAAGGTGACACCAGTGTGATTACTTTTGTTTAAAAAAAAAACTAAGAATTTATGTCAATGAGTGACAGCACTTGATTCAACTCAAAGCCTAGAAACCAGCCATATTAGTGTGAAGCCACAAGCTGTAAATGACTGTGTGTCATAACTAGTGATTGGGGAGCCCTGGGACAAGGAAAATCGAGAGAACAAGTATAGTGTGAAGGCCTCTCCGCGCAGAAGTCCTGAACAGCACTAAGTGGTGAAATGCTTGGCTGGGAAATCAAACCACCACCCATATTGCTGTGTTGGGAAGCCAGCAAACCCCGAGTGCCAGGACCGCCTGCTACTCCCGTACTGCACGTTCTGTCTCTTGCCCATACTGCACATGGAAGAATCAGTCACGATTATCACATTCAGCAAAACCACCAAATGTCCCATCTGTGCCTGTGGCACCAAAAACAGGAGCCCAGCGACTTAAACCTCCTGACATTAAAACAAGACATCCTCGGCTGCACAGCACTGAAGGCCACGGCAGGTGTCATGTGGGTGGGGAAGGACAAGGGATTTGGCATTTGTGATGTAATTATGCTCAGCAGTCACATGGCTAAAAGGATTTAGTTTTATAGAGGATGGGAAGATTCCTGAAAGTAAAAGGTAGGCTCTCTTGCAGCATGATTTAATCAAAGGTCACCACTGACATCCTCAACGAGGTAATAGTGCATCCAGGCAAGGCACTCCATGGAGGGCTTATACAGACATTGTTCTTCTGAGGGTACCCCCAGTCACTTCAGGCTGGACCCCACCTTTCCTGATAAACCATTAAGACCTTTGCTTTCTCCACATGGAGTTTTTTCATTATGAAATCCCTTTCAGTCAGCCAGGTCCTTATTATGTTCTAACCAAAACAGAGATCAAAACAGGGACCGGGCCGAAGGGAGCAGGTTGGTAGCAAGGGGTGAGGCCTTTCAGATCTCCCTGGCTGAAATATTAGCTCTCTGATCACTTTAAGGGTTTTGTAAAACGATTTTATTTTAAATGTCACACCCAGAGAAAACAACAAACTGGCCAGTTTCCACTTAAGCAGAAATTCTCTTCTGGACCAACAACCTGCTGCTCAGAGCCCTCAAAGTGCCACCAGCTCTCTTCTGTGTGCGGCCAGGGGGCGCGGCCGCCTGCGGGGCCTTGGGCCTGTCGGAGACGCAGTCAGGGAGACACTCGTGCTCTGGAGAAAGAACCAGGTTCCAGGGCCTCTGTGGTCCCAGCCAGCATCCAGGTCATGGACACGGAGGCTGCCTCTTAATCCTCGCCCCCCGAACGCGGTCTGTCTGCGTCCTTCTGGAAGCACTCCTAAGGCCAACACGCGCGCCCGAGCCCCTCACTGAAGCGCCCTCTCCAGAGTGCTGGCTCACTCAGTGCAGCACAAATATTTACAGGTCTCCCCCACTTTCCAAAAAGTTCGCCTTAAGCCACTTCACTTTGATGAAGGACCTGCATCAGTAGAGTAGTAACAGCTTTGTGAAAGCAAAAATCCTCTTTCCATTTCTTTCGGTTAGCAAAGACAAGCACTAATGTAGGCCTTTCCTTAAAGCCAAGTGGTTGGTGTAAGAGAACTTCCAGGAAGTGGGAGAGGTCCATGCTTAGCTCTTACACGATCTTCAAGAAGAAAGTACCTCTGGGCCCCAGCAGGCCCTGGGGCTTACCACACGGAAGGCTGACAGGGCCTCCCCTGAGGAGCTCGTTTGGGACGCAGTTGCCCGTGTCTGATTGGGATTTCAGCTTCCCTAAGAAAACTATCTAGATTTCTGCTGTGCCAAGGCAAGTATTTGTCCAAACACGTTGATCTCCCATGCCTGCCAGTTTTCACAAAACAGGCTGGCTCTGCTGAGGGGGCACTTCATACAGGTAGGAATTACGGAAAGAAGTCTGCCAGCCCCGACACAGGAGGCCTTTCAGCTCGGTCCCAGCCACCGTGGAGGACGCACAGCTAGGCTGCCCTCGCACTGCTGTGCCGGGAGCTCGAGCCCTGCTGCTGCTCTAACTGAGGCCCATGTTTATAGTGGAGGTGGCAGGAGGGCGAGGAGAATGAAAAAAAGATTCTGTTCGGACTGGTTTTGTCACAGAGCCGCTCTTATAGCAAAGCCAGGCGCGGCCAAGCTTCAGCTTTCCGACCACTCGAGCCCCATTTCTGAAAAGCCCGAGATACACAGAGCCGTGGCTGACGCTTAATTGAACTTTTATGAGGTTTGCTCATGTGTCCTCACAAAATACCACCATGGTGAGAAGCAATGTGAAGAAGGTCATCATCTAAGTGAAAAACAAAATCTCTAGGCTTTTCATCTCAAAATAAAAAAGGAAGATTAGATGAAAACCTTGTTTGAACGCTGAGATCATTAGATCTTACTGTAGTGCCTTTGCCGTGTAATGTTCTGTAATTGCCGCGATGCTGGCAATCATCTTGCCGTCCTGCCGCCTCACACATCGCAGAGAGAGTAAGGCCTGCGAGAGCGCCATCTGCCGAGCACTGGACAGCACTGGCCCTGGACGCCACCTGAGGGGGAAAAGGGCCCAGTCACCAGGCCGCCCTCAGAGGCTCAGTGTAGTGAGCCCTCCACTATATGTGAAGATGAGAATTCTAACTAATGTGTTTATAAGTGCCTTTGGGTGGTATAATTTTTTCAGCATCTCAGGTTATTATGGAAGCTGCTGTGATGGTCAGAAAATTAGATGTGTCACTTATCCACACACTCTACTGTGAGGGTTTGTGACTCGGGCTCCACAGCAGGTTTAAAAATTACATTCAGATGCTGCAGATGAAAACAGCATTGATTAAGGAACCCCCATTAGGAATTAGGAGCCACTGCTATCCCTAAAGGTAACTTACGACTGAGTAAAAACTACAGTGCCATAGCTTCTTACCAGGAGAATCCTTTCATGAAAACAAAAATCATTTGAAATGATGATCTGTTAGTCACAAGGGCTACAAAACCAGGCAAGAAAAAAATGACCAAACTCATGTACTAGAGTGTGGAGCAGACAGTGATGTGGGGAATTTCAAGTTGCCATGGAGACATTCTCCAGCTCATCGGCTGCCATGCTGCACCCCACCAGAAGCTACCACTCTCTGCTAAGCTCAAAACTAATTCAGTGTTTTCAAGGGAATTCAGGGTGGGGAGATCAAAGAGGTTTACAGCATGGTCCCTGTGGAAAAGGTACAGCCACAAAGTTGCTCACTTGCGGTGACTAGCCCAGTACCACCAAGAGGTAATTAAGTGTCCGAAAGTGCAGTGTCAACAAGAAGTGGTATCTCAGATCAGGAAGGACAGAGATGAGCATGGACCAAAGTTACTGAGAAGACTGCATGGTGTAAGAACTTGAGGGATGGGTAGCATTTGGCTCAGAGTATGCACTCAGTGAATGGACAGGAAAGTGTTCCAGGTGGGGGGAAGTGAGTGGGCAGAACTTCTCAGACAGCCATGGCATGTTAATGAGACAGTAGGGAGACCACTCCTGGCTGTGGTCAAAGGCCACGGTAAGTAACTGATATGGTTAAGAAACTCAGGCAAGATTACTGGGGGCCTGAACTGAGATTTGATCTCATAGTCCCTGGAGATGGGTTTTTAGGTCTGTAAGGAGGATGGTGATGTCATGAAAGCTGTGTTTACAAACATTGGCTAGGGGGTAAATGTCAGGACCCATGAGAAGGGAATGACCCTCAAGGCCAGGGGCACTGGAAGCCTACACATGGGTGGTAGATGTGCTCATTGAGAAAACACTGTTGACAAGGAAGAGTTCATCGCATTTGATAACAGGGAGAAATTTTTAAACCTGAACTCCTCTCCTGAATAGGCTCTGGAAAGCCATCTGAAGCTCAGGAGTTAGATCCGGGTTTCGGCTAGAGGTTGGGTCTGGTCTTCCACTTTGGGGCATGTGGCAGAAAGACAAAAAATAATGCAGAGAGTTTTCAGAGCAGTGAAACTACCCTGTGTGGTACTGCAAGGGTGCACACGTCAGACATTTATCAAAACCCATTGGATGTGCACCAAGGATGAATGAACCCCACCTGTCAGCTCTAGACTTCGGGGGAACAGGATGTATCAACTCAGGCACCACCCTGGGGAGGGATGCTGATAATAAGGGAGGCTGGTGGCTTCATTTTGCTGTGAACCTAAAGCTGTTCTAAAAAATAGAGTAAGTCCCCAAAAAAACAACAAGAAAAATGAATCTCCAGAGTTGAAATCAAAGACAGGCAGTCAGTGTGTGTTCAGAGGTCAGGATGTGGACAAAGAAGGGGAAATCACCTTGGAAAGACAACTAAAAACCCATTCACATACAAGTGTGATCTAGATGATGAACTAGGGAAATAGCAGTAGGACCAGGGCCTTCCTGTGGAAGAAACCCCAGGCCCCACCCCCTAGTGAAGACCCATCAAGGTGGATAGAACGCTCCAGGCCTGAGTGGCAGGAAGCATGAGGAAGGGCAATGGGCCAGACACAGGGCAGTGAATTGCACACATTAAAGAAATCCTGCGACTACGTTTCTTTTTAAGAAAAGTTAAATATTCTCAGCCTGTTAACCACAGTACTGGCAGTATTTTACAAGGAAGTGAGAGAAATCCAAGGTCCTTGTCTTGCTTCAGTGATTTGTGGCCCAAAACTATAATTATTTGCCATGATCCTTGTTTTTTTGTTTGATTGATTGATTAAAACCATCAAACTGAGGATAATAGCTTTGGATTGCAAAGTCATTGTCATAGTATGTGTGGTTTTTCTAAGCATTTTGACCTCGTGGGTAAAAGGGTGCTCTGATGACCTAATATTGCAGTAAAGAAAAAAAAAAACAGTAGAATCTGAAAGAAGACAGTTGAAAATAAGCCTGGAACAATGGGTCACACAGTCCATGAGCGGTACCACTGCTTACATCTTATCTCCCAGTCAGGGAGTCCTGGCTTATACTGGGTATTTATGAGTAGGTGACATTTATTGATTACATAAAGACCCACAATCCAAAAAAAGTTTATGCTGATGGTACCTCAAGTATGTAGATCTTTAAAAATCTGTCAGACTAAGCATTTAAAGGTACTGTCTGACAAGTAGCTTAGTGCAACTTGGGGTCATTACACACTCAGTTCAGCCTCTGGATGAATTACCTTCGTCTCCCAGCAGAGTCCACACTGGCCAGGGTTATTATTTTAATAATGCACATGTCTGCTGTTAATGTTTACCAGCCAGCTAATCAGAACTCCAGAGAATACATGCCGCGTTTGCATTGTTACAAGGTAGACATCATTTCACAATTAACTTCATTACAGCTGGAATGTAATCAAGGAGCATTCCCTCTTTCCATTTTTCGCTGGGAAGCTTTAAAATAATTATAGAGATAGATCCATACAACTCTAGGTACCATTTATGCATATAAATGACACTTATTTTCATAAGGATACATAAATATGCTCACCCATATGTATCCATACAATTATTATGAAGTATTGTTACAATTTTACATTAAAAATAGATTGCTTTGTATAAATATCATGTAAGATAAGATTTTTCACTTGTTTTCTTAGCCATGCAGTACGAAATCTGATTCACAAATTAGGCACTGGGGAAACATGTTAAAAGCACTGTAAATGTGGACTAGCTGCATATATTGAGCACCTTTTGAATAGCTAACTTAAGAGAAATATAATCCTGGTGTTTTTACATTGAGGCAATAATTTGAAAAGGCAAAAAAATACTTGATTTGATATTAAGCAGACTTTAAAATTGTGATTCAAGTTTTAGCAAAAGGAAGGAATGTTTTCAAAAGGTCTTGTACTTACACAATAATGACACTTAATCTCCTTCTCTCCGTGTAGGCCACGCAGTGCAGATTATTTTATGCAAGAAGCTAAGCGGATGAAGCATAAAGCAGATGCAATGGTAAGACTTTCTCTTTCCAGATACATTCTTCCAAATTAGGTTCGTACTGCTGCTTCATCACTGGGGCAACCAAGCTGGGGTAATTATAAAATCTATTACAAGGATGGCTGGGTCTCTTAAATGGAGAAATGTTTATATAATCAAGTGCTTATAGTCCAATAAATTATGACTTTAGCCAATAATGTCTGACTGGGAGAAAGCCCTGGATAAATGAATATTTCAATTTAGTTCTAAGGTTTGAATAGTAACTAGAGGCAATGGAGTCAGTGGGTGGTAGTATTTTTTCTTTAAAAATAAAATCTCGTTGCATTTTTCTCTCTTGTTAGTCTGGCCAACCCTTGGCTTGGTCTCAGGATTAAATCCCTGTGCAAAAAAAACTCATGTTCTTCATGTATATCTGCCAAAATGAATACTTCCTCTGAAACTGTGTAACACAGAAGCTATTTTACTGCACATAAGACCATAAAGTCACTATGATTTGATGTTTTCAAAAAATAACTTTTCTTACTTAGATAATCTCCTCTTTTGGAAAGCGTGAAGCTTTCAGACAAGCAATAAAAAAGTCTGTCTTTTTCCTAAGAGGGATCTCATGATTGCTCCATCTTAAGGTCTCACCAAAGGATCTCCTTCCTACCTAGTAATTCCAATTCTGTCCCCATCCAGGTCCATAACTAAGATCAAGGGCTGGAGAGGAATAAGACCTTTTAAATGACCTTCAGAGTATCATTCCAGTGTTGAAGATGTTTAAACCATAACAGTACCCCTCTCCCAGTGCTACTGATGTTGGCCATCAGGCATTTATTTGTGTGAAGATCACTGCACAGATACACTGGTGTACAGGGGTAGTTACCCAGAGTATCAGGAAATAGAGAAGAGAAGTGTGTGGGACAGCTCTTGTCCTCACAATCCCACAGTCTGATGGAGAGTTCAGTGCCTTGAAGAAGCTAATGCATGGTCACTATTGGAGGAGAGCACCGTTTTTTAAAGCAGAATGAAATTTTCTGCCTGTGTCTTTCAAGGATTACCAGGATTATTCATTCAGTGTCATCTTGTCCAACCTGTCCTTTCTTATTGACACTCTGCTCCAGCCAGGCTGGTCCCCTGCCAGCCTCTGAGCACACCTCCCTCATGCCAGCCAGCAGCCCTTGGGCCTTTGCACCTACAGGGCCTCACTCACACATACCTGCACAGCTGCTTGCTCTCACTCCTGCACACTCACATCTTCAGCATCCTCCCCAAATCCCACCAGATCTTCCTACTGTCATTTCTAGGTGTTCTCCATGAGGCCTCCCCAGCCTCTCTGCAGCCCATTGCTCGCTCCCTTCCCACCATCTCTTTGGCACTGGACTCCTTGCCGTGCCTCGCATTAGTTAACCACAGACTGCCTTGCACTTTAAACGAACTTTTGGACACGCATTTCTCTCTCCAAATGTGTTCTATGATCCTGGAAGGAGCTTTTGTGTATCAGGTGCACAGAAGTGGGTGCTTCAGAAAACACTTGAATGAAATGTCTTCCTTAATCTGAAAGCATTGCTGAGATATTGCCAAACAGCCTATTAGGATTATACACTGTTTTAAAAATTTGATTTGCTAGTGAGGGAGAGTTTTGCTCTGCATCTCTCTTTCTAGGATATTACTACTTAGGAGAATTTTTTAGAGGCAAGACTTAGATTAGTAGAGTATTTGTGTAATCCTGCTTTGATGGATGAATGAGCATTTTAAAACTAGGGAGATAATGTAATCCAAACTTAGAGTATGTAATTAGCCGTAGAGGGTAACCATATATGGAACCAGAAACTCAATGTGTAAGTTTAGATTCATGATAACCTAAGAAGATAAAGCTGATTCTTGGTTATCCTCACAGATACAGGGAAAGATTAACATAAACTTAGTCAATTTACAGATAATCCCCCCAAAATCGTTTTTTACCCATTTTCAGCTTCATGCCCCATTTTAGCTAAGATGAGCCCGTACCTTGAAGTCTACATCCTCTCCCGTTCTCTCCTCACTTTCACCCTTAAATCAGGTCCTAACTACTAACAAAATAATGAAAACACATGGTAAGAGGAAGGCCCGGAGATACAAATGTCACAAATAATATAAAAGATAATAACCAAGGCCTTAAGCCATCAAAGGAAGGATATATTACCAAAGAAGTATGAAAACTCTTATATGGGATCAGGCTCAGCACCTTCCATGTATATTTAGCATAGGGTGGAGGGACCGGGAGTGATGCTGCCGAGCCTCGGGGGATCAGAAAAAGAGAAACAGAAATCAGAGCCGCCACATTCCAAGCGATTCTGCCTCACAGTGTTACATGGATTTGTACAGCTCTGTATGTAACCACTCACCCATGTACCCTAAACCAGTAGCAATTTGTGGAAATGACTAGAGAAGAAAGTACCCTATTTCCTTCTCCTCTAGTCTCCAGTCCGGGATTTGGGAACTCAAGAGTCCAGTTTCTCAAATGAAGTGTAGAGACTATGTAACAATGCCATTTAAAAAAATTGTACTTAAGGAAGACCCTGTATTAACTCTGTTGACCAGGTGGAAAAGTTTGGAAAGGCTCTGAACTATGCTGAAGCAGCCTTGTCATTCATTGAGTGTGGAAATGCCATGGAGCAAGGTCCGATGGAGTCCAAATCTCCCTATACAATGTATTCAGAAACAGTAGAGCTCATCAGGTAAGCACTGTATTTTCTTGCTGCGGCTGATGGAATGGCGTAGAGGAATATATGTAAATACTATGAACGCAGGAAAAAAAAAAAAGAATGTCAGCCTGCACTATCAGCCTATCAAAAAACAGTGTTCATCTTAAAAGTAAGAATGTAAGATTTTGCAAGGCGTTTTCATACACACTTCATGAGCACGGCAGGGTGGCTCTATAACCCGAGCTGCTGCAGAGAGGGAGCTGGTCTGAGTGAGATGCGACAGGCCTTCTTCACCAGGCTGGGAAGCAGCAGACTTTCCATGCATTTCTCCTCTGTGCTGTTTTTGTGGTTTTTATCTGATTCGGGTTAGTAGAATCTAAATCCTAAATCCATCAGTGAATGATTCAGAAGTATTTAGTGAAAGGAAAAAAGATTCAGGGGGATTTTAGGAAGGGAAACCCCTCCTGTGATGTATCACCTCAGACGGTGCTGGCATTGTTCTGGCCTAAAACCTGTACATGAGCACCGTTCCCCAACCTGAGTTAGGGCATGGAATGTGACCCGAAGCAGGGTTCCCAATGGGGGCACATCAGAGGTGGAAGCACACTGTTCCCCAACCTGACTTAGGGCATGGAATGTGACCCGAAGCAGGGTTCCCAATGGGGGCACATCAGAGGTGGAAGCACACTGTTCCCCAACCTGACTTAGGGCATGGAATGTGACCCGAAGCAGGGTTCCCAATGGGGGCACATCAGAACACTGGGTGGAAGGCTCTTGTCTGCCATGATAGACACCTGGAAAGGTCCAGCCTTCATGTTTCTTTAATAAACCATTAAGGGAATTTCTTCCATTAACCCTACTGAGAACATTTGCCATACAGTTTATGTTTTTAGCAAGTTCAGCTGCTTGACATAATGTTTAGTACCCCTTATGTGAAATAGGTCTTCCCAAAACTAAGTTTAAGAGACTTTTCTAATTCCAGAATTCTCTTCAACCTATGATTAGATATTTTATCATGTCCCAACATTCTAAATAGGTTTAGTCACCTTAGGCTGCAAATGTTTTGGTCTGCAATGGCGCCAGGATACACCCTGGTTATTTTACACCACTCTTCCTCAGTATATAGATTCCAGCATTTGAAACTATCCTCCCAACATCAGAGAACACATGATCTCCAAAAGCTCCTCTCAAGAATGTTTTGAAAGTCAGCACCGTTCAGCCACTTTTCTTACTAGAATATTCCTGCTCTACCGACACATTGGTGATTCCTTTATACTATTTTCTTATGTGGTACGGTATTTTGGGCAGTGTAGAAAAGAAATCACCCTAGTAAAACACTTAAAATTATTCTAAGAGATCCTACATTCTCATATTCCTTCCTCAGAATAAGAGGGACTCAGATACCCACAGGTAGGCAGAGAAGAAAATGGGTGAAACTGGATGGATACAAAGCAGTCAGGTATTCTAGAGTGTGCATGCCTGGACCATAGTATATACTCAATAAACATTTGGGGAATGAACAAATATGCATGTCACAGGGCCTTTGGTGAACAGCAGTATGAATGGCCTGCTTAAGGATACTCAAATTTTAAAAAGCAAGCAAATAAACATGTCCAAACAACAATAAAAGCCTGATGCCAATCAAATACACTTAGAAGTGCTGATGGGCCACTGCACCTGAGTTGGGATTCTGCTTTGACCACTGGTGCAAGTAACCTTGCATGGACGGAGAACACAATCCATTTTCTAGATAATTTGGACAGAATAGAATCCCTTAAACTACTCAGAAGACTAAGACAGAAGGAGTTTTTCTTACCTGAGTTAGAACATAGCATATTTTACCCCTTAAATCTGCATGTTGCCCTCCAATCTTTAGACTCCCCTCTCCCATGGAGAGACAGGGGCTGGGATCACTGTCAAGGGGGATCTCACCACAGGTGTCCAGCTCAGGAGGCACTCTTGTCCCCATAGGCAGGAGAACTCCTTTCCCTACCAAGACATATCAAGTGATTGGGGGACACTAGCAAGTAGAACATTGCCACTACAAATCAAAATGGCACCAAAAGGCTCTGAAAATTAAATTGTAATTGGAACCACAGCCCACAAAAGTAGTCTAGGACTGGCCTGCTAAATCCAAACAGGATGACTTCTTTTTAAAAGAACAGATTTAAATAGGACCTAGGGTCTCTCAAGACAGTAGCCAAAATTCCCAAGATACAACAGAAACTCACTTGTCCCACCAAGAAACATGACAATCACAACTGGAATGTGAAAAGACAGTCAAATGACACCAATACCTGAGATGGATCAACTGTTGGAATTTTCTGACAAAGATGTCAAAGCAACCCTCATAAAAATGCTTCAACTAATAATTACAAATTCTCTTGCAACAAAAAATAAAAAATCACAGCAAAGAAATTGAAGTTATTTTTTTAAAAGCCAAATGGAAATTATAGAACTCAAAAAGATAACAGAAACAAAAATCTCACTGGATGAGCCCAATAGTAGAGTGGAGATGACAGAGTCTAGAATCAATGAATTTGAGAACAGAAAATAGAATTTACCTAATATGAGCAACAGAGAAAAAAATAGACTAAAAAAAAAATGGATAGAGCCTCAAGCACAGGATCCAAAAGATCCAACATGTGTATCATCAGAGTCCCAGGAGGAGAGGAAGGGGGGGAAAGAAAGAGTATTTTAAGAAGTAATGGCTGAAACTTGCCAAATTTGGCAAAAGACATGAACCTACATGTTCAAGAAGCTGAGAAAACCCCAAATAGAATAAACCCAAGGAAATGCATGCCAAAACACATCATAACTACATTTCTGAAAATTAAAGACAAAGAAAAAAAATCCTGAAAGCAACCAGCAAGAAATGACACATTACCTGCAGGGGAGCTCTGGTTTCAATGACAGCAGACTTCTCATCTGAAACCAAAGCCAGAACACAGTGGCATGATATATTTCAAGTGCCAAGAGAAAAAAATAAAAATTAAACCATGAATTCTAGATGCAGTGAGACTTCATTCTTCAGGAATGAAGAGGAAATGAAAATCTCATACTAAGAAAAACTAAAAGCTTTTGTTTCTACCAGACCCACCCTTAAAGATTAGGTAAAGGAAGTTTCTCAAACAAAGAAAATGGCAAATGAAGGGATCTTCTAGGAAGAAAGAAAGAACAATGGAAGAACATTGCAATAAACTATCTTCATGAGTTTTATAAATCATATTGATGATTGAAACAAAAATTCTACCACCACCTGATACTCAAGACAATGTTATTCTAAACTGGGGAAAGAGAAAGACGGTGGCATGAGAAGTGTGGCGGAAATCTCCTCCCAAAACCACATATATTTTGAAAATACAGCAAAGACAACTATTCCTAGAAGAGTGACCAGAAGTAAGAGGGCATCAGCCAGTCTACATCTCAGAGAAGTGAACATCTCACAGAAAAGGGTAAAGTAAAAAAATCTGTGACCCAGCAGGACCTGAGCAAGCCCCCCACTCCAAATCACCTGCAGGAGGAAGAGAATCAGAGCGGGGAGGGAGTGGGAGCACAGGACTGCTGAATACCCAGCCCTAGAAATCTACCCCAGGAGTGCAAACCAACACTGCATGGTGCTCTGGAGATCAGAGGGGCTGAAAAGCAAAGTTTGAGACTAAGACTATGAACAGGTTCCCACAACCTGCTGCCCTGAGACAAAAGAAAAGCAGATGCTTTGAAAGACTTCTCAATAGTTAGAAGGCTGCCAAAGGGGCAAGGGTTTAGGAGAAGGAACAGGTAGACAAAATCGTCCTGGCACACTCAGCCCAGCAGATTGGGAACTTTCAGGAGCTTCAGGCGCTCCATCCCACTGGTTGGCAATGCAGCCCTGAGGTCCCCCACTGCAATAAGCAGCCTGCCACTCCTTCCTCCCTGCTGGTACCTGCATGCAAACCCACTTCCCACACCATTGCTGCAGACAGGCTGGAGGGCAGCCCTGCCTACAGCAACTACAGAGCTTAGTGCAGAGACTTCTCCCTGTGTGTGGCTAACCAGTCCAGTCAGTGGAGACAGACTCTGTGACTGAGAAACACAAAAGGGCTTTTTCCTCATGGCAGAACCCGCACTGCTCACGTGCTACCCCTGCCCTGCCATCGCATAGGCCATTCCAAGGGTGCCCAGCCCACAGCAGCTTAGGGGATCATCCAAGAGGCTGCTCCCTATGTTAACCAGCAAGGACAGCAGAGACAGGCACTGCAATCGGCAAGCAGGAGGGGACTTTGTCCTCTGAGCTGACACCTGCACCACTCACCTGCAACCACCCCCATCACTCCAGGACTATGAAAGAGCAGAAGAAACTTGTTCAATCCAAAATCCCTCAAACACCAGAAAGAGGGCATGATGAGACTGAAATATCCAATCTTCCTGAAAAAGAATTCAAAATAAAAGTCATAAGCATGCTAACAGAGCTACAGAAAAATACTCAAGAGCTAAGGGATGAATTCAGGAGGGAGATAACTAAAATGAAACAAATAATGGAAGAATTTAAAAGCAGATTGGATGAGGTAGAGGAGACAGTAAATTGAATAGAAATCAGAGAACAGAAATACAGAGAAGCTGAGGCAGAGACAGAAAAAAGGATCTATAGTAATGAAAGAATATTAAGAGAACTGTGTGACCAATCCAAACAGAAGAATATTCACATTATAGGTGTACCAGAAGAAGAAGAAGAGAGAAAATGGGATAGAAAGTGTCTTTGAAGAAATAATTACTGAAAACTTCCCTAATCTGGGGAAACAAATAGTCTCTCAGGCCATGGAATTCCACAGATCTCCCAACACAAGGGACCCAAGGAAGACAACACCAAGACATATAATAATTAAAATGGCAAATATCAAGGACAAGGACAGAGTACTAAAAGCAGCCAGAGAGAGGAAAAAGATCACCTACAAAGGAAAATCCATCAGGCTATCATCAGACTTCTTGGCAGAAACCTACAGGCCAGGAGGGAGTGGCATGATATACTTAATGCAATGAAACAGAAGGGCCTC